TGAGCGACTCGGTGGGGTGAGCGACTCGGTGGTGGAATACGTTAGCTGTTTGTACTTTCCATAAATGCAACGATGGGTGCAGACAAAGAAATACTAGTGTAACGGATGGTGCAGCTAGATGTATTCAAGCTTCTATCAAGATACGGTGTTTGAGACAAGACGTTAGGTCTACGACACGCGCTTGCGACTAATCGGTAGAAGTTTCGGCTAAGATAGACATTTTCTGCTTCTTTAGCATTAGCGATATATTTGTGTAAGCTTTTTGAGTTTGTCTCCGACACTATGGCCGAGTGGTCTAAGGCGGCAGATTTAAGTTAGCGTAGCTAAAAATCTCTGCTGGAGCGATCCGCGTGGGTTCGAATCCCACTGGTGTCATTACTGTCTAACTTTTATTTTGTTCCTTTATCCGGCGGGCTTATGCTTTCTATTCGTGCTTGCATTTCGGAAAATTATGGGGCGGTTTTTCTACATTGTTGATATAGGCAGGGTTAGGGGATCGCGCGGCCGATTCACAAACTCACATCTCTATAGAGCCCCCATATGACAGGCGAACGGAGTTCACGTTGCGGGTTGGTAATTTTCAGATTCACCTCGCACGGGCGCGAGCTCGGTTTGATACTTGGATGGCGTAAATACTTACAAGCAACTAATTAACGCGCCGAGCATCTCCATCGTACTACGGGCGTCAAGGTCGTCATCCGACGTACCCTCCGCCTCTACGATTACTGCTTTCATATTCTCTAGCTGAGCCTCCAAGGTTTTACGAATCTCCTCGAGCTCATTTCTGCCGTCCCGACTAAGCACGTCCGAGATCCATCTGCGCGCTCCGCCATCCTCCGCCGCCAGCCAAGCCAAAATTGTATCGGTCATTTGCAAGCAGTATTCTGCTTCAAATTCAACATCTGAGCTTTCCAGCCTAGACAGGTAGTGCTTCCGCAGCTCAATCAGTCGTTTGATCTTTTCGTAGTCGGCCTCCACAAATTTGGCCAGGACTCGGATTCGACCGGGGCTATCCCCGGGCAAGTTTCGAAAGAGGGCGGCGAGGATGCCCAAGAGGTGCTCGGTCATGTGGGCATCGACTTTGGAGCGCATGAAAAGGCCGAATAAAGTCTTCAGCCCGGCCGCCTCGACGAGGCGATCGCAAATCTGCGCGCTGTTCTCGCCGGGCCCTCCGCAGGCGTGGTCCAGCAACTGCAAGGCCCGGGGGCGGGATACCTTGGGGGCATGCTTGGCCCGGGCCATTAGTAGAGCGAGTTCCACGCCCTCGGCCTCCAAAAATACGCGCTTGCCGTCGGGATAGCGCAGAAGGACAGCTAGGCAGGAGAACAGGTTCTCGACGTACTCTGACTCGTCGGTGTTGGGTTGGGGATCGCGGTTCCGGTACGGAGCCAACAGCTGGAGGAGAATATCTAGCGAGGGCGTTTCCTCTGCCGAGAGCTTAGTAAAGGCCGTTGCTGCAACCGGTGTGCAGCTCAGCAGAATCGACAGGAGCTCGGCGGCGTACTGGGTGTTTTGCGCAAGCACGGAAGAACTGGCCACAGGTTGCTGGACGCGCTTCAGCAAAAATGGTAAAAGCGAGGTCTCCGTGGCGATCGTGCTGGCAATCTCCGACGAGGACGAAAGGTTCTCAAAAACATGGAAGGAGTGATAGACACCGCTCCGATCGGCCTCCGACTGGTTTTCGTCGAAACGGTCAAAATTTGAGGTCAACAAGGAGAGGAGATCAGCGTCCAGCATGGCGTTAACCAGGGCATCCCATTGGTCCTGCTCAGCCTCGACGTCTTCGTCGGTCAGCTCGGCGATGATTTCGATGGCGTCTATGGCGATGTCCGTGTTCTCGTGCGCCAAAAGACCGACTAGGCTGGCAGCGCAGCCGAGGGCTGCGAACTTGGCGTAAAGATCGGTGTGCTCCGAGAGGATCGAAAGCGACTTGATTTCGGCGTCGAGGTCGGCCTCGGACGCCATGAACTTCTCCGGGCGGTCCCCGAACTTGCCGCGGAGCTCCGAATTCCTAGAGATGCGTTTCTCAAAGTTCAGCGTCGACTTGCGCAACCAAGCGACGTCAACATTTTCCGGCACAAATGGCTGGTCGCCGTCGGCCGAGTCCAGATAGTCGAGCGCATCCGCCGCGTCCCGATCCACGCCCCCTCCAAAGAAGCGGCCTTCCTCGTCGTCGCCATTATCGTCGACCGGCACGGCCACACCGTAGTCGCCGTCCTCGCCATCGTCTCCGTCGGGCGGCGGTTCGGCACCGAACCCGTCCTCTTCAGCGCCGGGCTCGACCGTCGCGCGCTTGCCGGACTTTGCGTCGCCGTTGGGAGATAGCTTCGCAGACTTGTAGAGTTGCGCGGGGTCGGTCGCGGAGGGATCGTCGAGTTTGCGTTTGCCATTGGTGGCATTTGGTTTTTTAAAAAGCTCGTCGATGCTAGCCATGTCGGCTGGTGCGATGCTCAAAGGAGCCGATGCGTCGTGATGCCGGAAGGGCGGGCGAAACAATGACGCGAGCGAGCCGAGTGCAAACGTTCGGTGACGGGCTAGTGGCACACGTGACCACCCGCAGCCGGACGCGTCGAACCTAACGCGTCCCTGCTCACGCTCATCCGTTCTCTCTATCACCTCCTCACGCGACAAGATAACCCGCCATGCCGAGCCCGTTTGGACCCGCAGACCACTTAGCCGAGGGCAAGCTGCTCTACAAGCGTGCTGACTTCCAAAATGCCTTGGACGCATTTAATTCGGCCCTACAATTCGCCCCCCACGACCTCGTTTTGCTCGACTGCCGGGCCGCGACGCGGGAGAAGCTGGGCAACCTCGACGAGGCTCTCCGTGACGCGAAGAGCATGATTAGGATCTCGCGGGCCGACGGCCGGGGCTATCTGCGCGCTGGCAAACTCCTCTCTATTATGGCGAAAACGGACGCCGCTCTATCCATCTATGACTATGGCCTTCGCCAGGTCCCGGACACGGATCCCACACATGAAGCTTTGCGGCGCATGAAAAATAAGACGGCAAACGCCACCAAAGGGCGGGATCCGCTCGAAGTTTTGCCAGTCGAGCTCGCGGAGAACATCATGCGCTGCCTCCCCTTCCGCGATGTAGTCAGATGTCTCCGCGTCTCCAAGGGGTGGCACCGCTTCATCGCTTCACGATCCTGTCTCTGGGAGTCGCTCGATCTTTCGCAGGCGAGGAAAAATGTGCACACGGCCTTCCTCATGTCCTGCTTTGCAAACTCTAAGGGCAGACTTATCGACGCAAGCATTCAACAGCTCAGCCAACCCGCTCTCGTCTACTTGGTGAAATACTGCCCTCGGTCTCATCTCACCTACCTTCGGATCACCTCGCAAATGTCCGAGGTCTACGTAGTCAAAACTGTTTGCCAAGCCCCCAATCTCAAAGACCTCTTTGTCGCCGGACAAGTCGAGTTCTTGTTTTCCGACCTGGTCTCAATTCTTAGTGCATGCCCTAATTTGGCCAAGGTATGTTGTCACATTGGCCCGGAAAAAAACCTCATGCTATGGACGAAGAATTACCCGAACCTGCGCGCACTGGAAATCTCGACTAGCTCACCGCAGGCTCTTGAGCTCTTCTTGGCAAGTGTCAGTCCTATCCCTCTAGTGCGTCTACGTGCTGACATTCGTTTCTCAGGGTGGTCTTTTAGTGCACGCTCCCAGCATTGTAAGGCTAAGCCTTAAGGGCTGGACCACCTGCAGCCCAAATTTCGAATTCACGCGGCTAGCTAGTCTCATGTTCTTACGCTTTGAGTGCTATGCTCCCGTACCTAGGCTCCTGCCTCCCTCCCTACGTTTCCTCCATCTACCACGCACAACCCCCCATGTTCACGGCCCTTTTGGCGGCCAGATCCTTCCTCCGGTCGATGCCCCCCCAGCCACCCTACCTTTGCTCGAAGAAATTAGCTGGGTCCCTGGAGGCCTCAACTCAGTGCAGCAACTATGCGACCTCTTGTTACAGCAACCCCTCGATTTGGGCGACAATGATGTCAGCGGCATCAAGAAGTTAACAATCGAGGGGTTCGAAGAAATAAAGAACTTCGAAAGGCTTCTTTCCGTTCCGAGGCTGGCGACGCTAGAGCAATTCTATTGGCGTGGACTTCGTGTCCGAGATGAAGACAGAACTCTCATACTTGGTTCGCCTATTATCCCTAATTCGTACGACTCCTTCTAATTTAAAGCAGATACGTTCAAGAATCTCAGAAGGCTGGACCTATCTGCTTCTAAGATTACAGGCGTCACCATTCGCGAGCTCGTCACGGTCCTGCAACTCGAATATCTAAACGTTGACTACTGTTACCACGTCTCTCCCGACGCTATCGAATGGGCCCGTAGACAGGGTGTGGAGGTATCGTACAAGTTTGAGGAGCGCCGCAAAGGCGGGAGAAAAGTGCGATATGGCACCTAGGCTCGGGGCCTTTGGAATCTCACATCTTGCTGGACCTATCCTGCGGGACCTTAACCACAACCTTCCCCCAAGTTTCTCTGGCGCCCAGTGCGCGTAGTGCATCTGGAACTGCTTCCAGGCCAACGAACTCCTTGTCCGTGAAGCATGTGCTGCGCAACTTCCCGGCGTCTATCAGCCGATACAGACCTTCCCAGACTTTTTCGACTGTATCAGGCTCCATTTTTGCATACATTCCCCAGTGCAGGCCGACGATGCTCACATTTTTCAGAAGCGCCCTGTTGGTAGCAACCTTTTCAATGCTTCCTGCCGCAAACCCGATAACCAGCAGCCGACCATTCCAAGCGGAGCACTTCATGCTTTGTGCGATGAGACCGACGGGATCATAGACGATGTCCACGCCGCGGCCCTTGGGAGTAAGCTTCCGGACTTGGTCAGGCCAGTTCTCTGCCCGGTAGTCGACTGTATAGTCCGCCCCGAAAGACTTGGCTACGTCGAGTTTGTGCGCCGTACCCGCGGTCGCGATAACCTCTGCACCAAAAGCCTTCGCAATTTGGACGGCGGCTAGCCCGACGCCGCCGGCAGCCGCATGTACGAGCACCCAATCACCTATGTTGTCCCCCGTCAGTCTACGAACTTCAAGACTAGCTTCCAAACGCACCCTTTTTGAGTCCGGCCCTGGTCACTAGTCCCGCGAAGCTCGTCGGCGCCGTGACGAATAAGCCTGCCGCCTCGAAGAAGCTCCAGCCCTTCGGAACCGGCCTCAGGCTTTGCTCTGTCGCTGCAATCATTGTCCCGTAGCCACCCTGACTCGCGCCGAACACGTGATCGCCGACCTTGAACTTGCCCTTGCCATCGGCGCGCGAGCGCAGCACCACACCCGCGAACTCTGACCCGCTAATCCATGGGAAAGGTGGTTGGTGCTGGTACTTGCCGCGGATCTGCAAGATATCGAAAAAGTT